TTCGGGTCGTGACAGCATGTCGTTCGGAATGATGGACGGTGCTTTAATTTCGCGTGCTGGGAGCTTCTTCACGTGCTGAATTCAACAACAATGTGAATACATGTTGACTTAAAGCTCTCACGACTGCAGGAATTCATATTCTTCGGGTCTTTCGGTAAAGTCGCGTAGATAGGTTCAAAGAAAAAAAAAAATATTTTTTTTGGTTATTTTCTTTTTGACCTATCTACGTGACTTTGAACCTATCTGCGTGACTTTACCGAAAGACCCAAAGAAAATGTGAATACATTTCGCCATTACTTTGGGGGACCACAGTGCAGCTCGCGTCCGACATTGTGTACTTGCGCCCTCGATTTTTTTTTGCAGGTGAATTCATGAAACATAAAACCTTGATGTGTTACAAGACTGAGAATAATTTTTTTGTTGATCAATTAATTATCGTGGAAAAACACACAGATATCTTTTGACATTATTTGACAATGCATTTTCTACAATTTTTTTTTATAGTTTCCAAATTAATCACCCATTCGTATATATCACCTTTATCCTTTGTCCCTTACCCTCTGCCACCAAAAACCTTCCCATTTTCCACTTTTTAAGGGATGTTCTTTGAATCAGTGCTGACTGCAATTAGCTTTTCTTAGTCCTCTTGAGATTTATGATGCCTCAGTATATAATTTAGATAACATTTGCACAGACTTAATTTTTAAAAGTAATTACATTTAAACATGTCACTAAGCAACCCGTGCTCAGGAATCGTTTGTTTTAATGGGGTTTTACTTTATTTTTCAATTTGAGACCAATTGGCAAATGCATCATCTGTTTATCGAAAATTATTTAAACATTTTGAAGAATACGCAGAAATAAAATCAAGGGTACAAAATGTTGCATTTGACAGCTGCTGAAATAAATCTTTGGCAATTGCATAAAATCACCACGTGCTGATTTGCAAGTACGTGGAGTTCTATATAAAATCTAAACCAATAACGCATGTCCATTTTAAAGTAAGCTTAGGCAGAATTATGGGTCTGATTGTCTTTTATAATACAAATCGTACTTTGGCCGATAGGCAGTACAGCTAGGTGATTTCCACAAGAACATATTCAAATCCACCCTGGATGATTCCTGCAGGGATCGCAATTCTTGGGTGGTTTTCATGTGAGAATTATTTGAATTTGATTCTATCAGGCATAGCAGAGTTTCTGCCATGATGGTTGTGTCCAACATCATGGAATTATATTCCGATGCTATTGAACATCTAGCTTAGCTAAGCTTTGGCTAATCTTAGCTTATCATAAAGGTGCAGCCCTGAAATGGCTTACTCACAATATTTATGGTGGGTGGGTCTCCACCTGCGAGAGTTCAAGGAATCCTCTCTCCAAAGGGTGTTTTTGGCCTACTTTTGTCCAGACATTTTGGAAGAAGTGGGAATACCCACACTTCATCCCATCACGCGTAACCTGTCGATCGACTAATTGCATTGTTTTTTGTTATTACTTTCTGACCCTCTCCTACTGGATATTTGTGAAAAAGAGCTTCATAGCTCATCGGATTGCTCCATCATGAATTAAGATTCTGATTTATACTGTTGGATGGACGGAGGTGGAGGGATTTAAAAAAAACTTGCCTATTGTTTCATTTTTAATCACCATTGAAATGCATCACCAATGCCTCTGTAATACATTGTTCAATGGTGATTCTGGACACTGGAAGGTGCTGCAGAAACAGAAAGACCACAATCTGACCGAATATCAGATTGTGGCCAGGATGGAAGCTGTCTTACTTTAAAAGATGGAGCGATGGACCGAGAGAACCGGAAATACCTCTGCAAGGATATGTCGGCAAAGGAAACCGTACATGCGATAATGGCCCAAAAAAGCCAAAGGAGCTAGAAAGAGAAGAATTTTAATTCAAGGCTACGAATCATGAGAATGGCCCAGGTCTAAGAGGCATCACTGACGTGTCTTGTGTACACTCACAATGTTATAGTTCCAAATACATGCAGTACAAAGCAGAGAGGACAATTTAAATCTGGAGATTTATAGGTTGGGGAATTTGTGAGTGTGTATAACATAGTGAAAGTTACAAGATGCACACACAATCCAAAGCAGTAGACGTATACAAGATCAACCTTTTTATGATCCTAACTTTTATTAATGTGACAAAATAGTTCACAGCTAATACATCACTCCTAGGGAATATTAATATGGGTGCTGTTGTATTATTAGGCCCAGACACATTTTTAATTAATAAAATATTGCTTTTTGTCAGTATCATATTATCACTGTAATGACATTCATAAAAATGGTTTCAATTCCACCCTGAGGGTGACCTTACAATGGCACATACACATAGTAAGTCTGCAAATTGTAATCATTTGTTGACATCTGAAAATGTCTGCAAATGATACGAAAAAAAATAATACTCGCATGTGCACATATATAGATGGTTCAATTGTAAGATCTTTGGTGTGCTGTTGCTTAGTAATTAGAAATTACAGAACTTAAATGTGTATTATATAACAGGGTAAATCTGTAGATGATTTACACAAAGATCAACAGACTAGCAACATAGTTTAGTCTACTTTATCTGAAAAGGCCAAATTGTTGTTTGGACCGCATTTTGCGAGTTTAGACATTTTCAAGAAGTGTGTGTATGTATAGGCCCAAGAGGTCCAAAAATGATTTTGGCAATGTTTTGTGATATACAAAATTGCCCATTGAGCAATACATTGTTTTTAATTTACAATTTTTTTGAGAAAAAAACCCATCAATAATATTTGTTCTTTACAATCCAGATCCTCTGGGGAAATAACCTTGGTTCTGATGTAAGTACAGCTTTGGACATTGCAAAGGAATCTATTTTGAATGCCCAACGACCTGAGGATATGAAATAAGTCAATTTCATAGTCAAGGACAACAACAGAAACAAGGAACGAGACGAGAGTTCACTTGCTTGGGATAGTCAGCCTGACGTAGGCCTCACCCAACAGGCTTGAAATTGATCCCTGGCTGAAATACGGTCCAAATCAAACTGCCGCAAGGCCACAATTCTTTTTGTATTCATAGAAATGTATATTTCTAGGCTCGTATTTTTTCTTCATATATATAGTTTTTTTGTATTCACAGTAGTTTATTATATTATACAGGATTGCCATTACAAAGGATAATTGTTCATGAATATTGAAAACGATAGCAAGGCACAAGGCCCCGAGGTTAAAGCCTATATACAAGACTTCAATCAATACCCTTCAACAATGTTCACTTGTTAGCGTGCTTAAGGACCTAAATAAATGCAATACCGGCAGCCTTAATGCTTTATCATGCTTGAGGTTTTCCCAACTACATTTTTGAAAAAAAAACACATCAGCAAACACTGCACTGTTAATGGTTCTCATGAGTGATGTTTCCTAAAAGCATAGAAAAATGAAAAACTTTTAGAGGTCCGGTTAATGATACGTCATTGTGGCGTTGTTCCCAGCGGCGCGTGTGACATATGAGGTAGGCACAACATATTACTCATGATTATTTGAACACGCACACACATACTCTCAAGCCAGCTTGCTTTAAACTGCAGATTTCCTGACGAGCAGTGTAGAATGAGAATTATTCCCATTTTAAATAAGTGCACTCTTTCGATGCACAATCTATTAAATGACATTCACTTGGAGCTGCAATGAGCACTTTCTTATATTGTTGGCAACATTTAATTGGGTTACTACTGCTATGTAAAGATTCTGTGTATAGCTGCATCATGAAAAACATTTATCCAAACCACTAATTTACATCAATCACAAAATGTCTATTTGATACATTACAGTACAAATGTGTAAGTCTTGTTTTGATTACTCATTCAATATGGATGTTATGGATGTATAGCATGCAGTCACGTTCAGTCAATACAATGATAAAACTGAAACCACTTATATCACATGATGTATATCGATGCAGCTGACAGATGTTTTCAATCAATTTGACATGATCATATTTAGGTGGCTTAATGGAGTACCCACGTGAATATCGGGCCAGCACTGCTTGAGATCTGGAGTTCAAAAACGTGGTTGTCCAGCTGAGATAAAACCTAGGAAATGTAATGATCTCATCGCAGCCAATATTCATAGCACACACACACAAAAACTGTAACATTGATCAAGAACACAATGAGGGCTTTTTTTGTATTAAAATGGTACAGGTCACACAAACAACTTGCACACAAAACTGATTAAGGTGGAAGCTAGTGTCTAAAGAAACACCCTTAAAGGTGCCAGTGGCATATGAAGTGTAGCAGTTTTGCTTTAGGTCAAGGATTTTGCAACGTGAAATTACTTCACTTTAGCCTATAATAACTTAATTTGTAGCCTTTTGTCCATCCACTGCTGGATGAATGCCTCCCCATGCCAAGTTCGGTACAATGGAGATTTTTTTTGACAATACTTCACCACGCTGATCATTATGGGTTGGTAAAATTGGATGCGGGGGGGGGGAGTCTCCAGGACCAGTTCATACATAATTAGTCGTGGCTGGGAATTAACAGGCTCATAGAACAGTGCAGGAAACGCTGCACCCTTGATCTGCCCGCTCGCCTAAATGCCAATGGAATAATGTGTCGATATGTTATCTTCTTCGCCTAGTTTGTAGGAGGGCGTAAGTTCGATCCCAACCCCTGACGCATGTATATTTGGAGTTTGGATGTTCTCCCCTTGGTCCTGTAGATTTTTCTCCGGGTCCTCTGGTTTTTCCCTCCACATTTAGAAACACACGCTTAGAAGATTTGGTTGCTGTTAAACATGCCCACGTGATAAGCCAATTCGTTGAGGATTCATTGATGGTCTGGTTGCTTCTGAAAAAGAGCTATATAGGTCAGTGGACCTTACCTGGTAAAATAAAATAAAAATGTGTTGAATATTTTAACAAACACAAATACAGTACTACTCTTTTGCTATACAGCTTCACCATGTTTACCTTTGTGTTGTTTCTCGTCTTTTCCAATGTCCTTGACCCTAGGGTGTTCTTGCGTGCCATTAACCAGTTTGCGGACATACTGAACAAAATGTTCTTGGACAGTGCCAACTTTGAGCTGCAGGTAAGACATGATTTCTTTTCTTTTTAAATTAGGTTGTTTCAACATCAAAAATACCAATTTCATATCAGTTGAGTTGGATCTTTTCAGATTGTCACACCTCCACAAAAAATTTACGAAACTATATTCCTGTTAAATCTTGACTTAAAGCTTTCGTGACTGCAGGAATTCATACTCTTTGGGTCTTTCGGTAAAGTCACGTAGGTAGAAAATAATTTTAAAAATCACGACGTTTCGATCACAACACAAGCAATCGTCATCAGGTGAAACAATGTAGCTAGAGAGCTGCCGATCGAAACGTCGCGATAATTTTATTATTTTTCTATCTACGTGGCTTTACCGAAAGACCCAAAGAATATGAATTCTTGCAGTCACGAAAGCTTTAAGTCGGGACACTGTCTACTGGAAAGCCACCCATACGGATGCCTATCTAAAACCTGACTCCCACCACCATCCATCCCAGAAGAATTCCCTCATCAAAACGCTACACCATAGAGCTCAATGTATTTCTGACCATCATCACCTAGCCAGTGAACTGGAACATGTACACCAAGCTCCCAAGATGAATGGATATTCAGACTACACAATCCGTAAAGTTATCACCCCAACCGTTTGGAAAGAACCATCTGAGGACCAAATCAAAACCGTCACCTTGACATACATAGTATCTGGAAATCGTGGGCTATACCACGAATACTATTGAACAATATTATCACGTATGATGCATTGTTATTTGTTTTCATTGCTACCTAGTTTTTTCTCCCAGCCTATATCAATTCCTAATCAACTGCCGTCCATTAATTTTTTCTATAGATATAAACATTTATATATGTGCGTTTACTAAGTCTGAGCAAACATTAATGAATTCATGTGGTTTTGTGTGTGCCGCCTGCCCAGGAATTAATTAAATGTAACTTATCTTCATATATACCCACTTCACCCCTACTCTGTAAATGATCTATCTATAATTACCTATTACCTGCAATTCAGATTCATACATTGAAGCCCCTCCATAGATTTCAGAACGTATTACATATTCTCGTGTATTTGGTGCACATTCCATATTTTTCCTTCATGTAAGTGCAGCACAAAGAAAACACACAGGCGGATTTAGTTTTTTTTACCAAAATCAAGACGAATATATACACATATCCTGGGACTCACTAATTAAAAAAAAATGTTTGGTGACATTGCATTGACAGTGGTGCACAAACAGAAAATAACAACAAAAAAGGCTTTCATACTCTTAGTTTTTTCGGTAAAGTCACGTTGAAGAGAAACAACAAAATAATAAAATATATATTTTTATTGTTTTATATATATTTTATTATTTTGTTGTTTCTCTTCAACGTGACTTTATCGAAAAAACTAAGAGTATGAATTACTGCAGTCACGAAAGCTTTAAATCAAAAAATAAAAAAGACTTTCGTTTATAAGACTGCCAGTAAAGCAAGTATCTAACAGGCTACGTTTCGGACAATGGACCTTCTTCATAACACAGAGAGGAGAGGCAAGAGAGCTAGTCAACCCACTGATTGATTGCTACGGTGATCATTGATCGTCACTATGTGCTACGGTGATTATTGATCGTCACTATGATGGAAAAGTTTTGTTTGCGTCTCATCTATAAAAACAAAACCCTCAATCTTCCTCCTCACCCCGCTATGTTTGTCAGACTTCAGTTCAGCTTGAAATCATTTTGGCATCCCATACTTGGACCAAAGGTGTAAAGAAAACCTTTCCTCCATCAACGCAACCCGATTCTCATTTCTTTGAGAAAAATAAAAATCGATGAGGGAAAAAAGATGTAATGATTTCTGGATTTCCAAACATTTTCCCCTCAAAGTGATGGTGATGAGTTTAGATTCCATTAAATCAGTGTCCATTTAATCATCGCTTGGCATGCAGTGTTGCGGTGGAGATGATAAAATTTGGGGTCACATAAGGGAATAAGCACCAGATTCAATCTACCATATACATGTGGGGCATTCAAGTCCATTTTAATATGCATTGTTTGCCACAAATCTCGTCACATCTGCTTTGTTTTTTCAACTGTTACTTGTTCCAATGAAATATTGTGTTTGCAAAACTGAGGGAGACCAATCTGGCCCGCATTTTGTAAGCCGCCTCACTCAGGGGTAGGGCTGAAACACAACCATCTGTGGCTGGCAGTCTCTCCACTCATAGGTGACCAAATTGCACCAACTGTTGGTTTGGGATAAAACTACAAATGAAATAAGGCAGCCAATCAGGGTGACTTGGGTAATTTCCCCCACGAGGGGAATCTTCTGTCGGTTTTTTGTTTAATTTGGCTGGTTCAGAGCAAAGGCCAAAGGCATTTACACTAAATCTTTAAACCATGGCTGACAGCAGTAGATGTTTGAACCCATAGTGGGATTTCCCTTCAACCCGCACTGACCTGCGTGGAGAAGTATGGTTAAACAACTTAAATAACATGACAGTGCATGGGGAGGCCTTCATCCAGCAGTGCATTGGCAAAGGGCTATAACTAATTAATACAAATTTTCTGATTATACATATTTTGTAATATGTGTATTTCATTACACATAAAATATATTCAAATACATGTCATTTATACAGATTATTTGTTCTCTGCGTTCCCTCACTTTCAATGCACTGTCAATTCCGATACCAATTATTGCACTAAAGTGGTGATATAGATTTTATCATAATACTCCTCTGGATATTTGATTCTGTTGCCTAAGCATGGAGTCTTAAAAGAAGTCGAACTGATGCTGAAAATTGTGCAAACAATTGTAAATAAAAGCATGGCGAGGTGCATGCTGGGAATTACACTAATAAACTGTGGCCTCCAATTTCTGAATTAATACATTATAATGTCGCTCTCGTTACACACAGAACGCTTGCCACAAATGAACAACAATGCTTTGCTGATCTCGTAAAGGAGCATAAACCATCACGCAAACTCTGGTCATCCTCGCAGCGGCTTTTGGCTCGCCATTTGGAATGCTCTTCCTTCCGATATTAGGAAGTCACTGGAGCTACGCACTTTTAAATCTAGATTGAAAACTCATTTCTTTAGAACTCCTCTTTGTGTTTAGTTTGTTATCCTTCCCCCACCCCTCCGATTAGCACGGTTGGATACCTATGGTGTGATAGAAGTTCAACATACATATATACAAACAGATAGAGGGAAATGTGGGCTAGAAAACACACACGCACACGTTCGATAAATACCATATTGAATGTCAAGAAAAGTAAGCCCACGTGGGCAAGACATGCCACTAAAATGTATGGCAACAAGTTGTCGAGAATAGCGATAGAGTGGCAGCCAGAGGAGAGTACAAACACGTGAGATGGATAAATGCGTTTTATTCTTTCAGTATTATTTTTTGAAAGTATATTCGAATGTCACTGTTTTGTTCCTTTCTACATGCAATCGTAGTATGAACCAACATTTAAAAAGTAGTTTCATAATATGTGGACAAGTTGCATAATGTTCGTACACTCTAGAAGGCATCAGTCATTCAACCCTTGAGGACAAAAGGGAAATTTAACAAAGAATGCAGAGTGGTACTTTTATGCACAGAAATGTTTGATCACGTCCTCCCTTGAATATTGAATGTTTTTAAAATGTCAGGGTAAATATAGCATATTTTTATATTTAAAAAAATATTACTTCATTTTTTAAACTAGGTTTTAGCTCTTTGAGGTGACAGTAACGTGCAGTAAATTAATCCTAGGAGTGATGAATATTAAAACATGGGCATGGGTGATTGGTGGAGCAGTGTTCAGCGCACTGCGCTATGAACCTAGCACCTTGTGTTTGATAACTGGCCACGGCTAACATCAATGACGAGAGATTCCTGAACCAATCCTATGCATTTCCCCCTGCACTAATCCTCACTGAGCAGGACAGCGAAGTGTAATGAGAGGTTTTATTCCAGAAATGACTTTATATAATTGTGTTATTGTTAATGGCATGTGTTAGGAGCCAAAGGCACTTGGTTAAATTGAGTCCCTCAACACAACGCTTCTAATATAGACACGGACACTGAACCTCTGCACCTGCAGAAGTACAGTATGACATTCATAAAAACATGTTTCTCTGATGCAAGCAGCGCACAGTCATATATTGCCTAGACAACAAGCAGATGGCTTCAGTGGAGCTTGAGCCTCATGACCGTGCATGTTCTTAAGATGAAGTCAGATATATTCGCTTGGGTTACTTCCTAAGCCACACAAGAACCGACGCTCCATCCACCACTGTCATCATCTGCGTGTAAGCGGACTAAGGAAATGAAACAAAATACTTTCACAAAAATAATTTTCATACTCTTTGGTTCTTTCGGTAAAGTCACGTAGGTAAAAATAAAAAAATAAAGTTAATCAAATCACGACGTTTCGGAGGCAACACAAGCTTCCGTCATCAGGTGTAACTTGCACAGCACCTGATGACGGAAGCTTGTGTTGCCTCCGAAACGTCGTGATTTGATTAACTTTAATTTTTTTATATTTACGTACGTGACTTTACCGAAAGAACCAAAGAGTATGGATTATTGCAGTCACGAAAACTTCAAATCTAATCATTTTCATGCCCATGTCAGTCATCGTTATCATCTGCCATAATCTATCTGCTGCTGCATGAAGGCCTTCCCTGACTGTCGCCCTCTCTCACGGTCCCACGGTGCGACAATTCCATAGAGCTCCTGCACATGAGCTGATTTTATCGCTCAATTTCAACGGTGTAATGGGCCTCTTTGGCGTGTCCCCCTCCTTTGGCTGCCACTCCGGAGCTCGTCACACACAGTGTTGCTGTTAATAATTGTGCTGCTCAACAGTCAAAAGGATCAGGTCAGCTACACTCCGTGCCGCACTTAAGATTGATGACACTTTTCAGCAGTGTCAGACTGTGGTTATAAAGGGTCTGTGTCTGCCACGATAGAAATTGATGGAAGCGCTTATAGCATCCATGCAGCACCAATGATTCGAGATCAGATGCATCGTGCTTATACCCTTTCCAAAACCAATCTTCATTTACCATTAGCTGGTAGTTTTTTTTAAAGTATTCTTTTAAAGAAATTTGCACAGATGTTCATGTTTCTTCCACATTGCTTTCTATAAATCAAAAAAAGTAGGACCGAGTGCATTATGCGGGTCCGAAGCATTTATAGGTTTATTAAAGACTTGCTCATGAGAAACAAAAATTCTGCACGCTGTTTGATGCCAGCGTGTGCCTTACACCCACGTGGTGTATTTTAAATAACACTCGATAACACGGGCTGCTCTGCGTAGCATAATTTTTTTTAAATCATTCCAGAAAGAAGAAGAAATGTTTAAACGAATTTGTGGTCCCAGCTGTGTCTAATTTAGTCGAGACATGGCTCCGGTGTTCGACAATAAAGCGGGCGACAGAAAGTAGAATTGTAAGGGCAACTCATTTGTCATTAAACAGACCCCAGAGAGCCTTAAATAAGGAGCTATATTGATGGGATGGCTCTTGGCCCGTGGAATTTGGACAGCACCTCGGCTCTGAAGCGGTGTCTACCCTTTCCAGCAGACAGAACCGGAATAAGCGGGTGGTCCTCTTTTACTCCCAGCCGGGGCCAAGCATGGATGAGCACACATCCCAAGCTGACATTTTTATTGAACACAAGCCGGAGCTCACTTGAAATGAGCTCTGCCTTGCTCGTGATGTGTTTGTTATTTGTATGTTTGTTTTGTTATGGGGGTATTTTTTATATATATAGCGCTAAACTTTTTATTATTAACAATTTTCTTTTCACTCATCACCAAGTTATTTGAAGAGTGTTCAGATGATGCCTGCATACAGTTTGGATGATTGCAATTACCCCCTCGTATTTTGTGTAAATAATGAGTCATAGACTTGAAATATAAAATGCATCATTTTAATATTGCTTTTTGTGTGTATTTCATTTATGTGTGATACCTGTGGACTTTTAACATTGTACTGCAACATATTTTAGGCATATTTGTAAATTAAATTCAAACGCAAAATATACTATCGTAATAATTGTATAGCCCCTTTTTCAATACTCTATCGGATGAAGGCCTCCCCAAGCCTTCCATTAATGTTGGTCCTTTGCATTTCACCACACTAATCAGTGAAGGTTGGTGAAGTGGTTGGGGGAGCTGCATGGAGGACCAGTTCAAATATCATTCCATCATTATCTATGAGCACGAATTGAACTCAGGTGGCCTGGTTAAAATGCAGTGCACTAACCACTATGCTACTGCTCCACAGATATGCGGATAACTCATTCCATTCACATTGCTTTCCAAATACCCCTCATTTGAACTGCTATGGCTCGGCATACAAAAGGGCATTATTCAATAACTTAAAGCTTTCACCTGTCAGTCAGAAATGCTCCCAATGAGAAAGCAGATATCCATCTTGAAAATTGATGTATCTTATATATAAAAAAACTACTTTGAAAACCATAGTGCAGCGCTTAGCTGCTATGGATTTACATTGAGTTATATGTGTAAAACAAAACAATAACCATTAACATAAAAAGGTCTGGTAAATATTACCTGCAAAAAGTCGATATAACATAATTGAATTAATCAATGACTTGACCATCGTGCATCAACAAATGCATTACACCTGATAAATTCTCGTAATGGCTGCCTCCAGCAATATTTTTGCACAAGCTCCACAGAGACGCAGCGGAGAGACATCCATTATGAAGATAAATGGGCCCGTGGATTCCGTCCGACATTCCAAATGAGACAATTCCAGAGGCCAAGGCGACAGCTAATCTACAGTCGATGCAACTTCCTGCAGGCCTTGGATCATTATTTACATGCAGACACTTCTACCTACACAGAGGGCCCCTGAGACACCGTAACAAAAATATATACAATAATAATAATATCACTTCCATTTTAGACAGCATCATTCATGCTAATAGCATCCTATAATGCTCTACATTAATTGTATACCAGGACCAAATCCCATGTACAGCCACTACAAAGCTAATGGAAACCCTACTAACAAGCAAAATCTAAATTAATAAACAAATTAAGAAATGGGACCAAAACAAAAAGCACAAACAGCAAAAAAGTTATCACAGCAAAGAAATGAGTCCATCATAAACGTTTATGTTCTATATGATGTAATATATGATGACAATACTGGGCTACTATGTATACACAACCAGTATCTTGTAGCAGTTTCCTAATACAATACCGTATTTTATTTCAGGGATTAACAATTAAGTGATGGCACTCTGTCAGTAAACAATAAAATGTTATGCTGTGACCATGGATGCCACTGAGATAAAACATTAACAATTACATCACGTAAATGTGTTTTGCTCAGCATTGTAAAAATATGGCACAAAGAAGGCACAGTTTTTCGAAATGTGCTAGCCAAAAATGCCTCTGCCACGCAGAGTATTTAAAAATTAATAAACGTGGAAAATAAATAACGAGAGCTATAACCAGACTACACATGACTTTTTCCATGTATATGTAGTAACATAGAATGGGTCACTAGGGCACGTAGCGCCGGTTGCTGGCAGAGAGGGGGGATCTGAGCACACAGCAGCCGGGACAGAGAGGACACGTGGGGCGAAGCCCAGAACCTGGTAAGTTCCAGAAGGGGGCGTGGCCTAGGGCGGAGCCAGGCCACGCTAGGGGGGATAAAAGGGAGGTCCCGAAGCTGGGTCGGGGCTCTCGTTTGGAATGGAACCTGCCGTCTATGCAAGTCTTCATCCCCCCCTTCACCTCCTCGGTGTTGCGGGTCAGGCAGTGTGCCGGCTGTCCTGACCCGTGTGTAGTTATCCCCTGTACTGTGGAAGTGTAGAATAAACGTGTGTGCCTCCTACTATTAGTGTCTCTGAAGTGACCACTACATATATACAGTAGTAAACTCTAGCGCCCTTCTTCAGTGGTTATTGCACGCAGCTCACCGAGCAGTTTTGGGGCAAGGCTGTGGATGGCCAGCGAAAAGGATTATTACGACGGTTAATTCATGACACCAAACCGATGGGCCGATAAGCACGGTTGGCTACGTACGGTGCGGAAGAACTTGCATATTTCCAGCTTGCACTTGCTGCTTTGTTTACCTCATCGTAAATGTTTGAGAAAACAACTCATAATGCTACCTTTATATATTGATGATGATGCCCCATCCCCTCGACTACAACACAATATAAAATAATGTTAAGTTTACACGTGGCCCATCTGCCTTTTTTGGCAACATGTGTCCCATGTGCACTGTATACGTGTAGTTAGTAAGCAATGGAATCCAATTCCAATTTGTTTCGAGGGCAGTTCAACGAAAAAAGATGCTGCATTTCAGCTGCACAGACTTCATAAATCATTCCATTCCAATTTTTCACCAACTGTATTTCAAATGTACACCTTTCACTTTGACCTTGCTTTTATTACTTCTGCATCCTGAATCATCTGTGACCTATTTTTAATAAGTTTTTTATATATATCTCATGCAGAATTGCAAGAGCACCTCATTTAATATTTAACCATAAGCCGGTAGTTTAATAGAAGCCAAGCATGGTAAAATATGAAATATAAGCAAGATATTTCTTTTCGTAATCACACGGTGGAATTGTACGAGAAATGAGACATGTTAAAAGCCTGTCATGAATGTAGATTTGTTTTTTGTGTATTTTCAGCTCTGGAACAACTACTTTCACCTCGCAGTGGCCTTTCTCACCCAGGAGTCTCTGCAACTTGAAAATTTCTCCCATGGAAAGCGCCACAAGATTGTCAGCAAGTGGGTCGCAGAGCCAGAAAACAGTTGTTAAAAAATTCACGGAAGCAAGATGCGTAATTACATCCTGCAGGGCAAATCACAATAACCATTCAGTCCTACATAATGGCAATCATTTGCATGAAGAGGACAGGCTTGTAAAATATAACTAATGGCATGCAAATTATTTTGAATGAATGATGTACGATGTCATGTTTACATTTATAAAAAGTAGACATTAAAATGTAATTCGTATAACATTTTGCTTTCTGCCCTACCGATTTAAAATTATGGGAGTTTTTTTCCTAACCCATAAAATCTAATAAATGTGGCTTCATCATAAATCTGTTTAGCCATATAAAGATAACGAATAACATTGATGCAAGTCATATGTACTAAATCATTTTGCCTTAACTTTTCCAATGCAATTTTTTAAATATTTTTTTGTATATTTTTTAATTGTAGACTTCATAAACCACACACTGTTTTATGAACTTAAATGGTGTGCTACATTGTGCAGAAACCTATGATGTCTAGGTTGGCCCATGTTAGTCTTTTAACTTCCCGACCCTGTGGATCTTGGCTGTGACTGCCTCGGATATCCAATCTAGTTAAAGTCGTGCAGCGCAGCTTGAGAACCCAACAAACGATCCCTTGACATAAAAAATAGATTCATCTTATATAGCTTTGTTCATGCAAATTGCATCTCAATCGCTGAGGAACCACAGAGGAACCACAGACAAGCTGGAAGGCTGCCCGGCGGTAACAACATTTGCTCTCGAGTTCACGATATATATTAAGATGTTTTTCACACAATTAGTGTTGATTGGGAGCACTCAGTGAAACCCCACATGAGCGAGGGGGCAACCATCTATGGACAGATGATGTCACTCCACACTTTGCTGTAGTGCATTCTGCTGCCGGGCCGGAGGTGACTGCACCCCATTGCCCACGGAGAGGGAGTCTCGCGACATTTGGTAATTTATATTCTTGGTTCTTTCGGTAAAGTCACGTAGAAGGGAAACAATAACATAATAAAAATATAAAAATATAAAACAATAAAATTGTTTCCCTTCTACGTGACTTCACCGAAAGAACCACGAATATGAATTCCTGCAGTCACGAAAGCTGTAAATCAAAATTTGGTAATTTGTTCCGATCCACCAACCCTCGCCTACCTAAGTTCTGTATTATTACAGGCGTGCACCACCAGGGGCGGAGCCACAGGGGGGGCTGGGGGGGGGGCTCCATCACTGCCCAGCATGTAGCGTAGCTTTTATTGACTGCATTCTAGATATCTGAACACTGCTAGTCTTGGTAAGGTTAGGTTACAACAACAAAAACACTTATATTATAGAACAGGTATGTTGAGACTATGAAACTGTTAATGCCCCCCCCCCCCCCCCATTTGCACACATTTTAATGAGTATATACATATATGCATTCATGGCCAAATCACCTGGAATGCATCCGATCACAGAAGCTAAGCTGTTTTGAGCCCTGCTAGTGCTTGGATGAGTGGCCGGTGGCCACAATGTGCAAGGGACGGGTGTAGTAGGTATTTAACATTTCTATTGTTCTTTTTTTTCTGAACGGCCCCTACATTCATCATCGATTCACACTGACCGGCGGAGTTAAATGTGGTAAAATATCTCTCACGGCCTGCAAGCCATGGGGAGGCCCTCATCCATTAGTGGATTGAGAAACACAGGCTGTAGTGCTGTACATGTATACATACAGACATAGTATTTGTAATATAGAGCACGCAGATACAAAACCATATAAGTTGATTTTCTAAATGTCTCTGGCGCTTATATTTCCTGGTTTCTTTCGTGAAAACATCACAGTGACAAGCGCAGCATCATGATTAAACAGTTTGTCTGGGGCCTTTGAAACATTTATCCAACACCACATATAAACTTGATGACAGACCTTTCAACATTATTCATTACTGTCAAGAGTGTTTTGAATTTAAACCCATCTGCAGGCCACGAATGAAAGGCTGGTGATTGATGCACAATTGTTCGAAAAGTAAAATATAATTTCTGGTTAAAAAACAACTATGCAATCAAAAAGGAATGACACGATAATTTGACTATAAATGCAGCCTATCTGCATGGTACATTTTACAAGAATCTTAACTAAATTCAACAAAGTATTTGAATATGAGAAGTCAAAGTTAATTTGTATAAGAGCTGTACGTCGTCATGGGCTGACAAAGGCTAACGATTAAATTCCATCTGTGAATGTGGACGCTTTAAATGTGTGACGTGGCACATTTCCCCTCTTTGCAGGTATGGAGATATGAGACGGCAAATTGGATTTGAAATTCGTGACAAGTGGTACAACTTAGGTAAGCACATAATTGTTTTTTTTTGGTTAGGTCGTGTAAAAATGTGTCGGAAACCCTGAATCAAATGTGCTAAGTTTACTGCTGCAACACACTGCTGTGTTGGAAATGAATCTCATGAAATGTCTGCGACGTTTGGATGGAGATGACATCCAGCATCCTCAGGTTGTTAACAGGATCTCTGATCTCGAGTGAGAGTACTTTATGGATCGGAGTCCTTAAGTAGATGCCTTTGACGTCATCGACACAGTCATGTACGTGGTATAATTTCATTAATATAAGTAGTTTATTCGTAGTTGACCGGTTGTGACTGGCAGGTTAAGTTAATGTAATAAGGTGAATCTATTTAGCAGCGAGCCAAAATCGGCTTTTCCTTAATTATGCTACTGTGTTTGTGTATTGGTAATGAAGATGGATGTTTTGGTACGTGACAGTGTACGTATAAAATTAGGCAAAATACATTTGCCATTGTTGCTGCATTGCTCTCCATCTTACATCGGGCGGTAGCGGCATTGGGGCGATGCATGCAGAGGAGGAGGAGGTTGTTGCACAGATAGACAGATGGCCTTATGAGGCAATGAATGCTGATGAGTTGACCATTTTTCACGTCGAGATCGCTGTTACCTGGTTGCTTTTCATTGATGTATCCAGGGAACGGTATTGGTTGAAAAACAGTTTTTAGTTAACGTCCATGCTCAATGCAATGAGTTTATAATTTTACACATATGTGTGGGGTAGAGTAATGCATTGCATTATATTCACATTGGAATTCCCCCATGCTGGTTTTTGCAATGTTATGGGTGTTTAAATGTGCTTTTGTGGAATTAAATACAATTTTTTTACTTTTCTCAGTTGATTGGGACACAAAGCAAAAGCATATCATAAGAAGAAGATAGCTTCAAAATGTGTTTTCTTCGTAAATTATGAAATGCATCAATATATGTAAAAACGTCACTTATAACATATACATGAACAATATTTTAACATCATGCATGTTGGATTTTCAAAACAAGATTGTTGGTAAAATTCATAAAATAATAATTATGAGACTTAAGAGACCATAATGACAATGTTATCTCAGAAAAGCCAATATAATGAGAGCAAAATCAAAATCTTTGACGATCCACTGCTTGATGAAGATCTCCCGATGCTATGTCAGTCATGGGAGTTGTTTGACCATACTTCGCCATGCTGGTCAATGTGGATTAGTGAGAGGGCGGGGGGGGGCAAGACGTATTTGCAAATCACTTGTCATTGATATGAGCTCTGGCCACAAATAAAACCCAAGTCATCATTTACACTCCAAATGCTCAAACAAACGTGTTAACATTGTAACAGCTTTCTTAAAACAAACTCAGGAAAAACACCTCCACATCAAATTTTGATTTAAAGCTTTCGTGACTGCAGTAATTCATATTCTTAGTTCTTTCGGTAAAGTCACGTTGAAGGGAAACAACAAAATAATAAAATATATATAAAACAATAAAAATTCTCACGACGTTTCGACCATAACACAAACGGTCGTCTTCAGGTGTGTTGGTTTGCATAAATATATATTTTTATATAATTTATGCAAACCAAAAACTATAAAAATTCTCACGACGTTTCGACCATAACACAAACGGTCGTCTTCAGGTGTGTTGGTTATATAAAAATATATATTTATGCAAACCAACACACCTGAAGACGACCGTTTGTGTTATGGTCGAAACGTCGTGAGAATTTTTATAGTTTTATATATATATTATTATTTTGTTGTTTCCCTTCAACGTGACCTCCACATCATTTAACATATTCATATTCTTGGTTCTTTCGGTAAAGTCACGTTGACGGGAAACAATAAAATAATAAAATATATAAGGCATATCACGAACTGGATCTAAAACTGTTTTAATCTGAGAATGTTGCCAAAATACAAACCAGTAATGGCTGGTATTACTCCATGTAGGAGATTGACAGTTGGTTATAACCCTGGCTCCTTTAACTTTCCTCACTGCAGTTATCCTCTTTAACCCCAGTCAGAAGGAAAACCACAACCATATCTCCAGTTCCCACATTCCAAAACCCCAATCTGAAACAGCGATTCTGCTGCAGGGATGAAGCGAGGGAACAGAGTGTACCGTACCAACATCTTCCCCACCTTTGGCACTCATGTATGCTGGATTGGTCTATACTGCATATACATGGATGTAAAAAAAATGAAGAACATACCAGACCAGAGCAGTGTACCTGGATTAAGGTCTGACATAGCTCATTAAAAAAAAAAAACAAACAGGTCCACATCCTGTCCTGTTAAATTACATCTCCGCAGCATTGCTCCGAAGCTGCAATGCTCTATAAATTAATTTGAATTCATTCCATCCACCGTCTTTGCCTATCATCAAGACCCCAGACCTACAGTCCAATAATAGAAACACAAGGCCTTGGCATTGCTGGATTTTGCCCAACCATTACCACTGACTAGCTATCGGGCTTTTTTTGCCAAACCTTCTGCCTCATTCGATCCTGTGCGCGTTGAATGGCCCATTGCACATATTTTTTCCACATGAGTTGCAAACTGCCATATAGCTTGCTCCCCCCCCCCCTACTATTATACACGGCTAGCTGATGTTCACTGTGGGGTGCCTCTGCACACTACGCTCGTTTTAGTATCGTTCACCAGCATCCCTTTATATGTTTAACACCACTGTCAAAAGAAATAAATATATGCGGTCTCATCACTAAAAAAAACATTTCCGGCAGCATGTGCACACATTGCCCTTACATCAGACCAACTGACAAGCTCATATCTAGTTGTGCAAGATTGGAGTGCAAGCTGATAGGGGGTAGGGGACAAGGATGGGAGTGTTTGCCTGTTTGTCACCCTTGACTGCCCGTGATATAAAACAGCTTCAAGTGCATGGGGTGGTCACGGATTATGCACGTGACTGGTGACGAGGGTAGGTGATGCCGTGCATGCTAGTCGACTTGAATTGCTGAAGTCCACGAGCAAAGCGACACAATGTGTATGGGCTTGGCTGTTTTCACTCCAACGCTGTCCTCATGACAGCACGGTCCCTTCACCTGATGAAGGCCACTTGTGTTGTGGCCGAAACATCGTGATTTTTGTTATTTTACTTTTTACCTACGTGACTTTACCGAATAGAACCAAAGAGTATGCATCCTTGCAGTCATGAAAGCTTCAAATCTAGAATTGCATCGTAATCCTGTTTACTTATAACAAGGGAGTGGTGCCGGCCATATAAATAGCGTGGGTAATGTTAACCTCAAGAAGGCGTTCGAACACAGAGCAAGGGTGAAGACATGCGATGTTTTTTTTTTTTAATCTCGTCTTGCACTGATGATGCAATGCATCGACTCACATACATTGTATGCGATTAGTTCGCGTGACCCCTGCAGCCAAACGAGACACTACAGTGCACCACAACTTTATGAAAACAATATAGAATTGCAATCCCTAATGTTTGCCAACCACATATTTTCTATGAAGATAGATTGGTATTTCATCGTCTTGCCTCCATCATCATCACCATCCTAGAATCTCACCCAGATCCAGAAGAACGCTGGAGAACCGCATTGAACAACACAGATGCAAGAGAATAAACACCACGTTTGAAGCTCAAACATCACACCTCCTGGCTTTGACATTCCTTGTAGAGACGGGTGCAATCATCAACCGCATCAGAACATTAACAGGATAATGTGCACTTCTCTTTTATGAATGTAAACTTTGAGGCAAGCCAGGGTAGCGTGATTGTGGCCATGCAACGCAGACTATGAAGGAGACAGCAAGCTACTGTATTCTGCACTCTTTTAAATGTAGGAATAGCAAAACTATTTTTCTCTCGTGGCTAGCAGATTGGCAGATCTCGACATTTGCCATACGCGATAAATAGAATAGAATCACCATCATTAGCAGTCACCATTGTCTATCCACTGCTGGATGAAAGCCACCGCACGCCATCGCCATCCATCATGGTCCAGCGCTGCTACGATTCACCTCACTCCTATATGTGGCACATTAGGAATGGACCACTCTTTTAATAAGTCCTTATGTGCTGTGCAGTACACCAATGCACGTGTGTACACCAGCATGTGATGACTGAGTTGGGCCTGTGGGGGCGCTGGCAGGGTTAATGATTAACCGGACGTGTACACCAGTCACGTGATTAATGGCGACTCGGTTGCGGATTGCTGTGTGACACCACGTGTTGTTGCATTCTACAGATTAACCACAATAAATATGTTTGCCCTCGATTTGGAGCACCTGCCCAACGTCCTTCATTTCTAGCGTGCAACATATACATGACTTGATCTCATCACTCCAACTTCATGACAGGCATCTATCTTGAACAGTCTGACTTATGGCTACCATTCTGTCACCAATCTAGTATATGGGAGGTATCTTACTAACATGCAAACTATTTCTTGCAAACAAGTCTATTAAATGTGTATGTATAGAAGGAGATTATTAAGATCTACGCTGTGAATGCCTCTTGTTAAAATGTCAGTTCCCACTTGAAACTCGTTATTTTGTGATGGAAATCAAATCAGCCATAAATAGTTGCAATCTTTTCAGTTGGCCAACTTCAAAGCATGCAGAAAATGGTCTTCAATTAAAGGAATAAAGTGCAAAATGATAATTTTCAAGCTACACGGTGAGAGGATGGAATCACATCGCTCGGATTTTGCACTCGTGGAGTTTCTGTCGTTCATGAGCATGCTTTGGCTCGGCATTCAAGTAACGGTTACAATCTCCAGATGGCTTTCCAAAACACATCATGGATTCCCATTATCCCAGGAACAAAATTGACTTTGGGGCTGAAAACTACAGCCCAGAGGTTAATGGTCTGTGCAGTTTACTTTTAAAGTGTTGCACAACTAATCACATTTGTCTACAGAGTGCCTGGTCTTACTTACAATTACCACAGTAATCGCAAACAAACATGAATGCAAAAAAGACGGCAGCCCAGGTATCATTTTGAGAAATATCTAGACAAGCA